TCTGATGTCTATCGACGTCCGATCGGTAAAAAAAGCAATTAAATCAACCTCGCTGGACACATCGCCGGGACCGGACGGAGTTCTGATCCGCACGATAAAGTATTATGATATTTCTCATATAATTAAGATAATTGCGGAGATCATGCTGAGGGTGGCGTACGTACCAGAGCCTCTGCGTCAGGGGCGTACAATCATGGTCTATAAGGGAATGGGTGATGCCAACAGCATATCATCATGGCGACCCATAACCACTTACTCGATTGTGCGGCGAATCATTGAAAAGGTTCTGGACCAAGAATTTAGGAAACAGATCACATTTAGCAAATATTAGAGATGTTTCATCACGGGCCTGCCGGGAATACATGTCAGCGCAAGAATCATTGACGCGATCATAAAGGATGGCAAATGTAAAAAGAATTATTGCGCGGTGGTTTTTCTAGATGTTGTCGGCGCTTTTGAGAACGTTGATCACGACCATATCATCAGCTCACTGGAGGCAAGAGGGGTCTCACCAGACTTGAAAGACAAGATTGTGGCTCTCCTGGGTACTAACTCAATTAAGATTGGAGTAGGAGCCCACGCGACAAGCTGGATCAAAGTGCGGCGAGAAGTACCCCAAGGCGGACCCTTGCCGCCTTCGCTGTTCAACCTGGCTAATGACCATCTATACCGCGACATGTGTGAGCAAGAATTTTCCAAGTATTATGGGATAAGCTCACCAGCGACAAAGAATGTGTGGTCCTCACAGGCTCCGCGGATGAACAGGCTGTTTCAACACAAGACAAGGGTGCTGCAAAGAGGATAATTAACTGTGTACAGAGGATCCTCGCCGAGATTGGTCTGGGTATTAATCCGAAGAAAAGCGTGGGCCTAATAATGAATAAAGGAGAGCTGCAACAAACAAAGCTCTCCCTTGAGAACGGAGAAGTCATTCATACATCAAAGGCAGATTATACTATCAAATATTTAGAATGCACGTTCTCGGGAGAGCTAGTAATAAATGAGGAAAAGATAAAAAAAATTAACTACAACTTGGATAAACTGGTGACCTCGACTTTGTAGAGAGGAGGCCAAGAAATGATGATCCTCGACCGCCATCCGTAATGGCTCGTTTCGTGAGGCAGTTGGTAAGAGACGAATTAGTGCAATGAAGAAAAATGAAAAGGGACTTTTCCACCAGGGATATTGGATGGCAAGAGAACGACTACCACCGGATTTATTATGTTGAAGAAATGACCCATACAAATAGACGTCTATACTGGATTAAGAAAAAAGTAGCAGGTAAATTAAAATACTTGTGGTTCACTGGAAGCAGAGTTCGATGTAGAAAAGAAGATGTACATCGATCAACCTCAAGACCCAGATGTTTTCGGCTGACAATCTGGAATCAGTCAAATCTTTGATCGTGATCGACAAACGTGAAGGGTCTGCTGCACTAAATCTTACTGCTCTATTACTTAGCTCTTTAATTATTTTCCAGTTTATTTATTTTCAGCCAATTTTACACCAATTTTGAATTTTGTCAAGTTAATGACTACACATCTCAATTACAACGTTTCGGCTCGTCGAGCCATTTTCAAGTCTAAAAATTTTTTATATACATAAATACCTATCATGTACCTGTCCATTTCACTTATGCGAATTATATGCGTCTACTCATGCTAAAATGTTTTATTCTTGTCATTTCTACCTTTAATTATTTTATAACATCATTATTACTCCAATTCTTTCTTATTAAACGTTTCAAATAAGTTAAAATTACCTTATCATGTGCTACCCTCTTGTCATCGGTCTCATTTCTATTCAGTGACTGGTAATTCTTATAGGAGTAGGGGAAGACTATTTATTATAATCATATACAATGATGTTCCCCAATATTATATGCGGACCTATTTAAGTAATATTAGCTAATTCATTTCAAATTTTTTATTTTTTTTTTCAATTGAACTCGCGTAAAATGTGTTCATATTATCCACGTCTGTATGATTATTTACCGAGTTTTTTTAAGTTTTTAGTTATGTATAGAGCTTCCTTTATTCTACGTTTATTAGTATTACTTTCATTATGCAGGATTTTGGCGTTTTTGAAATCAAATTCATGTTTTGTTGGCATAGTAAGTTGAGAGAGTCCAGTAGCTAATTTTATTTTTGGTGTTTTTTTAATTACAATTTTGTTTGTGTTGTTTAAGCCTTTTTTCAAACTATTGTGATATCTGCCCAAAATATGATTTGTTGTTGCAATTCTTACAATTTATTTTAAAAATAATATTCGTTAATTTATCGGTAGGTACTTTATCTTTAGTTTTGGAATAAATTGTATCTATTTTATTAATTGGTTTGCTTGCAAATTTAATTCCATTTACATCATATTGTTTAAATGTTCTTTCTATTTTATCAGTCGAATTTCTAACATATGTGACGCTAAAATATTTTTTGGGTTGCTGTTTGTTTTCATTATATTTTTCATTTTGCGTCTTAATGTCATGTATATCGTTCATGGAAGGTTTTTGTTTTACTGCATTTTCAGTTTTAAAATAATTTGTTATTAATAAAACCTGAAAAGAAAGACTGAGTACAATAAAAAAATGCATAACCTACTGGATGAACGCCTAATATATAGATGCCTTAGGATAGATCCTTCAGGTGAAATCCAGGATAAAACCTTAACATATATTAATAAGTTAATGAAGATTTATAAATGAAAAGGTTAAATAAAAACTTATAACTAGACATTACACAATACCACGAATACCTCGTCTCAGTAATTTCATAAAAAATACGGACCTCTTAGACCAATTGTAAACAATGTAAATGGCATAACAGAAAAATTAGCTATGTTCCTAAACTCAGCCTTAAACAATTTGAACAATAATAACACACATGACGAGAAAAAGGAAATGCAAGTAAAAGAGAATAATTACAAGCATAACAGAAAAATTAGCGAAAGGCGAGAGGAAGCAATTAAAAGCAAGATGAACGGGTGGGTAGCCATTAGGAAGGGGCGTCAGACGCCTATATCTGATCCGGCTACCCACAGGTTGCCTCATTCATCAGGGAGTACCATGGGTCGTTCCCCTTTAGTTAGACAAGAGAAGAACTTCCCCACAGCAAATAAGGGAGGGGGGAGAGGAGGCTGGTCTTTCTAGCGGCCCTTCTCGGGCTAGACAAGAGCGAGCGTCCTCTTCAAGGGCCAACCCTGCCATTAAATATACAAATAGACAGAGGCCGGTTGAGGAGTCCTCACCTGCGGATGTCCGCCGACAAGACAAAAAAATGCCAAAGCAATCGCCTAGAAGGTCCCTCTGTAGCAGGACCTTCCTCAAAGCAAGGCACTCAGTTGGATCAGGGGAATACCCGATCCTGCAGGGACGCTGCAGCTGGGAGGGCATTGCAGATGTTATAATGGGGAGCCAGGAGGGTGAGCCTATCACACAGGATTAGGCACAACTCATACGCTGGCTCCCCATAGCCGAAATCGACCTTAGGTGCAATGAGCCACATCCCAGAAGGAGACCATTAGCCTTCAAAAACTCAGGATATCAGGCGGAACCGAGTTGGTTCCTCCTAACCTCCACAAATGAGGAGACTAGGGATTGGCTACTGGACTGGGCCCCTCCCAATGACCTAAGGTTTATGGTGAGGCGGCCCGCCGAGGCTCCCTAGCCCGGCAGAATTGTTATTGGGTTGGGAGCTGAGGCGATCTATCCCACCAGGCTCTTAAGAATTCTGGACTACCAGAATGAGGACCTGGTTGGTATATCGAGATGGCAGTATTTAGGAACTGAGGGCGACCCAGGACACCTGTGAGCGGTGTTTAAGGTGTCCAGCATCTCAATGGATGGTTTGAGGCTCATGAGTGGCGCTTGAACTACGAGCTAGTCAGCTTAACACTTTGGAGGGCGCCACCAACTGCCTCATGACCTGTCAACCCCTCACAGGATGATACTAGGAGGAGCAGGCGCCATTAGGCTCCTGCACTTAGTACTTCCAATTAACAATAATGGAGTCCAATCTGATTAAGGTAAGACAAATTAATATACAGCATTATAAATTGGCTACGGCCGAATTAGCTAAGATTCTCAAGGGGGTTAAATCAACCCTCGTTCTAATACAAGAACCTTATTGTTTAAGGGGAATGATTAAAGGCTTAAGGGGAACAGGAGGAAATATCATCCAACCACCCCTATTTGCCCTATTTGAAGACAAACCTTGGGTATGCATATGGGCCTCCAAGGATTTGCACATATTGCCACTACCTCAGGTAAACTCAAGAGATGCTGTGGCCTTGAACCTAACTATCAAGGTAAGCATTAGAAAGATTAAAATGATAATTGGATCTATTTATATACCTCATGATTTAGAGCCTATTTGTCAATATGTGGAAAAGAGGACCTCCTACTCCTAATAGGTGGTGATATAAATCTATATATATCAATATACAGTAAAATACATACAAGCAGAATGTATAGCAAAAGCCCAAGACATAACAAACAATGGTATAGAGGATATGACGGCCTCGTTCAATTAACTAGTCGACGCATTAAAAAATCAAAAGCGGAAATTCGAATAAGTGTAATAAAAGTTATGCACAAAATTATGGATCCGTGATAGGAGAAAGTTAGTCGAAGAACCTCAACAAGAACAGGCTCTCTTTATTTGCCAAATAGATGATATTTGTGCTCAATATATGCGGTGTTTGTCGAATAAAAATACTTCCAATGTTGAAACCAACACCAGTTTCAACAAAATTGCAGCCAGTGTCTCTGGTGTATCTAATCCACAAAAAAGAATGATTTCCTAGCAACTAGCTGGGCCATACAATATACAACATACTAGAGAGACAGTACCTAATAGATATCATTAATAAAGCATTCCAATGTGATTAAGGTAAGACAAATTAATATACAGCATAATAAATTGGCTACGGCCGAATTAGCTAAGATTCTCACGGGGGTTAAATCAACCCTCGTTCTAATACAAGAACCTTATTGTTTAAGGGGAATGATTAAAGGCTTAAGGGGAACTGGAGGAAATATCATCCAACCAACCCTATTTGCCCTATTTGTAAGACAAACCTTGGGTATGCATATGGGCCTCCAAGGATTTGCACATATTGCCACTACCTCAGGTAAACTCAAGAGATGCTGTGGCCTTGAACCTAACTATCAAGGTAAGCATTAGAAAGATTAAAATGATAATTGGATCTATTTATATACCTTATGATTTAGAGCCTATTTGTCAATATGTGGAAAAGAGGACCTCCTACTCCTAATAGGTGGTGATATAAATCAATATATATCAATATACAGTAAAATACATACAAGCAGAATGTATAGCAGAAGCCCAAGACATAAAAAAACAACAAACAGAGGCAGAGAGGATATGACTGCCTCGTTCAATTAACTAGTCGACGCATTAAAAAATCAAAAGCGGAAATTCGAATAAGTGTAATAAAAGTTATGCACAAAATTATGGATCCGTGATAGGTTAGACCAACTACCTCAAGAAGAACAGGCTCTCTTTATTTGCCAATTAGATGATATTTGTGCTCAATATATGCGGTGTTTGTCGAATAAAAATACTTCCAATGTTGAAAACACAACCACCAACACCAGTTTCAACAAAATTGCAGCCAGTTCCCTTGGTCTGGTGGAAATTCACAAAAAAATAATGATTTCCTAGCAACAAGCTGGGCCATACAATATACTATAGAGATTGTACCTAAAAAAACAGATATCATTAATATAGCATTTTTAAATGCGTTTGAAGAAGATGAAGAATAATCATTAGTTATTATTCAACTTTTGTTTTTGTAGTGTTATATTACATTATTCATAATATTGTGTAAGCAATAGTATTTTTTGCATTAATTAATTTGTTTGTTTAGTATGTTTTGTTAATTAATTTCTAGTTTAAATTCTGTAATATATATTATGTTGTATATAGGAACCTAATTTATTTGTTGATTAATAAAATTTCTATTTTGTATAATATTAATAATGTTAAAGATTAATTTTCTATCAACATTATAAATATTAAATTTTATTTTATCGATATAAGCTATTAAATTTTGTAAATATAGTGGTTGTAAATTGTATAAATAATATAACGTCAACTTTCCTCTTGGGCATCGTCAAATAGGAATAACCGGAGGGAGGAAGCAATTCTTACGCGCCTGCGTATAGGTCATACACGCCTTACCCATGGATACCTGATGGCCCGTGATTCTTGGCCAACATGCAAAACTTGTGGGACTCTTCTGGCAGTGAAACACATTTTAACAGAATGCAGAGCTTACGAAACGATTAGACTCTCTTGTGACTTGACAAACGATCTACACTTCATTTTACAGGACAATAAGAATGAAATTAATAAACTATTTTCTTTTCTGAAACGTTCTAAACTTTAAAATACAATCTGAGTCTCGGTGAAAATAAGGAAATAATGACCCAAGTGGTTGAAGCCTTAAATTATGAAAAAAAAACTACGACAACCTGATGCTCGTCATCGAAAGAAGTAATTTTCTTGGCTGAAAATACCCAAAATCGTAATAAGGATATTCAGGTGAATGTATTTATATCAGAGATGGGCAAATGTTTTAATCAAATACTGACCTTTTTTGAGTACCAAAGAATTTAATTACTATTTCAGTTGATGTCAAACGATTAACTGAAGTAGTAATTGAATTTCTAACAGTGAAACAATTTGAGAAAAACACTTGGTGCTCGGTACTCAGAGTAGCATTTTCCCATCTCTGTTTAATGTACGCTAGAAATTGTTTTTAGGATTGTAATTTATTTTTTTGCGTCTTCTTTTGCGGCTATGTATATGCATTTGTTTAATCATACACGCATATATAGTATTTTTATCACAGTATTTATTATTTAGCCTATTAACAAAAAATATATAAAAATATAAAAAAGTGAAATAATAATAAATTAAAACTATGTACAATAAAAAAATAAAATAACCTAAATATAAGTAAATTTAAAACATAAAAATACAGTCATACCTATATACAATCAGGCAGGGAACCCAAATCCCTTCGCTACTCACTCAACCGCGTCACTGGTGCAAAAGCCAGTGGAGTAGAGAAAATTAACGAAGAAAGAAAAAGATCGACATTATAAGAAAAGTATCAAACATAAAAGTAAAAACACAAATATGAAAAAGTAGAACGAAAGTTAGTATAACCAATTTATTATTAACTCACAGGTCGTTCTTCACAAATAACTAGCGTTTTTAAGATCAGTAAGTAACATAGGTTAATATATCAATTTTCGCCTTGTCAATGATGTTTCGCGGCATTGTTTTCAAATTAGCCGCTATGCTTCCCAGAAAAAGCTCTACATCATCTGATTGTTGTTTTTCAGCCATACGCTGCAAAAACATGAGGCGTTCTTCACACCTTTTATTAATAATAGCCCAAGGTTTTTTCCTTGAGATATTGTGAAACGTAGAGGAAGTCGAGTTACTAGCTGATGGAGGGATGATATTAGTTGAAGGATTTTCGTCTTCCACTTCAACAGTGGGCCGTCATCGTCTGATGTAAATATATCTACATTTCCTGTCCCCTCTGGGCAAATGCTGCAGAAAGTTGACCGTTCCCTTTCTGTTCCATTTAATAAAGTGAGGCTGTTGAACAGAGGCCATTTTTGGATGAACCGGGCGCAGCAGACCCCGTTGGAGGCTTCTCTCTCCTGAGAATTTTAAAATAACTGTCGCGAATATCTTTCCATCTCTTCTTACAATGGTTATCTGGACTGGAAATAGATTATTAATTGAGATAATTATTGTAATCATTTTGATTCCTATTTCATACATTGACCATACTTATTGTTTTTTTACAGATTCCTGGCGACAGGAGAAAGTTTCATGTCGCTTGGGTATGCATTCCGCATATCACTTAGCTATGTGAGAGTTATAGTCAAACAAACATTGTAAGCACTGTGCCAAAATTTGGTGCCTGTACTGATGCCTTCGCCATATTAAACAACCTTCCTTAATAGCTCAGCAGAGTTTATCAAACTTTGGGGTTTCCCAAACTGTCGTGGCGCTATAGATTGGAAACATTTAAGGATACGAAGTCCGAAGAGAAGTGGCTCCCTTTATTGGAATTAAAAAAACCTATTATTCGACCGTACTACTCGCTTTAGTTGATGCGAATTACAACATCATGGCCATAGATGTTGGCTCGTATGGAAAAAAGGGAGACAGTGAAATTTTTAACAAATCCGCAATAGGGAGATCAATCATGAAAGGAGATATTTTCCTTCCAGACAAGGAGCTTCCCTTTTCTGAAATCATAGTCACATTTGTAGTGGTAGGCGACGAAGCCATTCGGTTACAAAGGTATATACTCAAGCCATTTACCGGGCCAGAACGACATATCAAAAGCCAATTTCAAGCACAAACTTTCACGGGCGCTCCGTGTATCGGAAAATGCATTTGGTCTATTATGCCAAGTCTTTCGGGTTTTTTATTCAACAATAAATGAAAAATCCGAAACATGCGACACCATAATAACATGCTATTGTCCGCATAACCTCTTGAGAGATGGATACTAGGAAAACGAAAGAAAGCCTTTTTATCAACTAGAAGAGGAACTGAGTTTACCTCAAAACATGACCACACTGTCCCGCGGAGGAGGGTTCTCACGAGCAGAAGGCTTTGAAGTGCGGGGAACTTTTAAAAACTATTTTATAAATCAATAGAACCGCGTGAAAATCGTCATTTTGCAGTGATTCGTGTTGTTCATTATGTTTTCGCAAGTTTCGAGCCAGACATGTTGATTGCCCCGATGGGGGCAAAGGTTTTTGAAAGTTCATATAAGTTCAGCCAGCAACTATTGCCATGATGATAATCCACAACCCTGGGTCGAAACTTCAGCAAAATTAATAAACAACCTAGCTCCCTACAACATTCGTAAGAATTTAAGGGATTCTCAACTCGAGGCCTCTTACTCCACTGAATGAAGATCCAGAAAATTTCGATGTCCTCACCCCTTCACATTTCTTGATTGGCTCATCCTCATGAGGACAAGATATTATGTATTAACTTGATGTATATATATATATTTTAATTGTTCTTAAAAAGTGTTATTTGACTCCATGGTTTCATCAATATTGTTTTATGCTTCTGAAGTGTGGAGCCCCAATTATCTTGATGCAATCGAAACGGTACAACTTAAATTTTTAAAGCAACTGTTTGGTTTGCCCAGGAATACCCCAAACCATAGAGTCCGCCTCGAAACAGGAAGAGAACCACTAAGCATGAAAGTGATAAAAAAGACTTCGACAACTCTATGGACCAAGCTCGAGTTCATGCCAGAAGAGCGACTCCCAAAACTTTGTTTTAATAGACATAAATCATTAGATAAGGATAAGCCTAACATAGACTTCAATTGGGGGTCTCAATTTAGAGCAATAGCCGAGCTTAATGCCTTTGCAGAAGAGCATTCTGTTCACCAAACAAACGGACTTCTTCGATACAAATACTACATAATGGAAAAAACACACAACCATTATTTCTCAGCCGACATACTAAGAGCTCTAAACTCAACTAACTACCATGTGTGATAAATATTCAGGACGCAGTCTTTTTTAAAATTTTATTTTTGCCAACGTTTCAACCCAAACATATGGATCATCTTCAGAGCTGAAAATGTTTTTTAAAATTACAATCAGAGATATGATAGTATACGACCGCTAATTATAAATAATAAACTATAGTGATTGATGACACATGAATCTTAACTAATATTGTATACACATATTAAAATAGTTATACAAACTAAAAATAAAAAATAAAAAAAACAATGTATATAATCCATTTATACAAATTTGTAATATTTTCTCTTACTAACCATGGTTTGAGCACTGAGAGTGTTAAGTACTGACACATGTTTGGTAAGTAAGTAAAAAGGTCAAGGGTGGAGGATTTCCCAGTTGTCCTTTTTCAGATCGCAAAAGGTAGGTAAACATAGCTAGAGGGGGAGGGGGGTAACAGTTATGTTTGTAGAATATACATAATTTGCTGACAAATATTTTAGACGTGTACAATATTTGAGTTATTTCATACGGTTACAGAAATGTGACTATTGACTAGTAATGAAATGAACATAAGCAAAAGTTGCCAATCAATATAAATATAGCTTAGTTTGATAGCAAGTATACAATGGTTGGATGAATAATTTTTATAATAAAGACAACTTCAATGTATACAAATGATACTTGGGACAATATATTATACAATATTTTAAGAATAACAATATTTATCATAATATAAGTTTGTATTATATTAAGGATTACATAGGCTATTGTTGCGGAAAATATTTAAATACGTGTTGCAGGTCTTTTCTATGTCTACTTTATGATTTTTCGCCTTCTTACGTAAATCCCGAAACTTACCTTACATTCAAAGTCCATATAAAGAAATTGAGATGTGCCAGTCAATTAAGAGTTGCGAACCCAGAACATATTAGGATTTATGCAAAAAATAGAACTTTTTCGATCGAGTCTCAAGAAACCTGTATATCATGCAGTCAATTTATCTACAATACTCTACATCATATTCTACTTCACTATCCAGTTTACAATGACTATAGACAAAAATTCCTTTAAAACTTCATCTCAGAATCTTCTGATAACCACAACATCGAAACCATACTGAATATCGATTGTATAGATAAGTTAAATAAATTTTACTATTATATGATGGGAGTACACAAAGTGCATACACAAAATTGTTGATCATAGACCATGTTCTATTAAGTTTGTTTTCAATTTATCTTATAGGTATGACTGTATTTTTATGATTTTAATTTACTTATATTTAGGTTATTTTATTTTTTATTGTATATAGTTTTCATTTATTATTATTTAGTTATTATTTTACTTTTGTTAATTTTATTTCTTTTTAGTATATACGGTGTGAATGTGTTCATTTATCAATATAATTATTGTCCCTGTGACAGAATATTATATGTCTAAATAAATAAAAAAAAAAAATTTATCTTAAAAGTAATACTTTGTTTATATATATAAATATGTTTATTGTTTCTACCATAGTAACAGGTTCATATAACTATTATTATGCAGTAATCGTCTTTTGTTTTAATTTCTATTGTTACTCATGTTTCGTAAAACCCATTCTACAAGTAAAATATTGTAAATTTTATTTATTTTTAAATGATATGTATATAACACAATAGCCAAGCTAGGCTCTATTTGTATGGGGAACCCGCCAAAAACAAATAAATTTCTATCTATCTATCTATCTATCTATATATATATATATATATATATATATATATATTTTAATTGTATTGTTATTTAGTTATGATGTTTTAGAAATCTAAGGTTAGCTCAATATTATATATTTATTTGTTGTTAATAATGTTATGGTTAAAATAATGTTATTATTTGAATACTTTAATTATAGCGAATATGTACATGTTATGGTAATTGATGTTTTGTAAGTCAGGGAAGTATATTTCTACTGTTAGGTCTGTGTTGGGGTTTGGTCACTGGGTCAGGGGTGAGCGTGGCGACCCAGTGGCTTGATACACGTACTGGAGGGCGGTACTGAGGCCGCCGGTGTGGCCCCTGGCTTGGGTATTAAAGCTCGTAAGTGTAAGGTAGGGAAAAAAAAATTAAATTATTTCTCGTAGGTATGCCTGCGTCTAAGATGATTATTTTTATTTGTTATTGCTATTATTTATGAAGAGAAGAATAATTTGGGTGATCAGTCAAATAAGAAGGCAAAAATAAATGATAATATTTATTTTGACACATGCCGACGTTTCGACCTTAAGTTCAGGCCTTCATCAGGGCTAAGAAAAGAACCAGATAACAAGGTATGAGAAACATATGTAGTGTAGGTAAAACAAATTAAAGCAAAATGAAGTTGTTAGATTAATGACAATAGTAAGAACTAAGAGATAAATAAATAACAGTTACAAAGTGTGGAATGATGAAGTAACCATAATCAAAAAAGGTGTCATAAGTATTAAAATGGGAATCTTAAAATAAAATGTAAAACGGAATAAGAAAGAGAGAAAAAAAAAAAAAACCTGTCTCTAAAAAGGTTGATGTAGAAGTGAGAATATGGTAGTAAGGGAGGGGGAGAGAGGAGATGTATTGTGGCGTCATATCTAACGGTTATCTGACGAAGTTTGAACTAAAGTACTGGAAGCGTAAATATTTAATTACTATAATTAATTACTATTATTTATATTTTCTTCCTTCATTATGATATTTTATTTTGTTCTTATTTCGATGTATTTTATTTTCATATTACCTTATTTATTTTTTGATTTTGTAAATATGGTGTGAATGTGCTCTCTGAACTCAATTATAAATGTCGTTTATTGAGACAGATTGTAATATTTACCAATAAACAAGTAATATAGTAAAAAAAAAAAAAATTGTTAAGGCATATAAGAACTTGTATTTTTGTGCCATTGATGGCTGTTTGTTTTTCCAGTTCTGAAGAGGATCCCATTCTCTGTTTAAGAAAAGAAGTGATCGAAACGTTATAAAATAAAAAAAATAAACTCTAAAATTTATGTAGTTTATTAAATGGTGAATTAAATGACCTAATACCCAAAAAGAATAATTATTTTACAATATATATATATATATATATATATATATATATATATAATATATATAATATATATATATATATAACATATATATACATGTTGTCCTATAAGTAGAAAACAATTTTTATATGAGTGATAGCAAACCTCAAGAGCTACACTAAAAGTTCATACAAGCAATGGGCCAATGCTTAGCAGAAAATAAGTAAATCCAAGTAATGTGTTTTATAAGTGAGTCGTGTTTTTTATTGAATCGAAAGGAATAACTAAAGAAATAATTAATTTAAGTAATTAATAATTACTTCATTGTAAACAAGATCAAATTTACAACAAATGAACGAACAGTTTATTATTGTTAAAACTTTTACAGAGGGCTTTTGAGCAGCTAAAACCAAGTTTTTTTTTTTAGAAAAATCATAAATTATTCGCGATTTTTTTTTTATTATCGAACTGTACTACAGATACCCCACTTTTACAAAAACTTTTTCGTTTAATAATCTTTAAGTTGTTATTAATTAAGTTGAGGTTTAAAACTAAAAAAATTGTGATTGAGCTCAACTTTTGTAAAAAAATCTTTACTGTCAAGTAAAAGTAGCCATGTTTTCAACAAAACTGACTATAATTAATTGTTGCCAAGCATTTTTTTTGTTTTTCCATAATCTGGGATGTTTTTTAATAACCTCAATTGTCCAAACACACATTATATTAATAAAGAAATTCATTTGCAAAATATTGATTATTCAAATATTTTTCGGATAAATTGGTTATAAACTGTATTTTAACCCAGATCTCTATTATAGGAATTTATCTATATTTGTCAGTGACAAAATAAAAGCTTCTAGTAATAAGATTTACGCTTAAAATAAAAAAAAATAAAAAAAACCTGCCGATTGCTTAAATTATTTTAATGAATACATTAAACGTCCGAGTTATGCCTGAGTCTGTGACGGAGCAACATCGGGTCCATATTAAACGCCCATTTGATGTAGTGTTTAATGTAAAATAGTCACGAATGTAGCGAGAGCGTATTGTGAGTGGCGCGCAAAATTTGAAGAAAATAAAACGAGTATCGTCGGAATAAATCGAAGGCAAAGGAAGCTGCTCATTGCCAAATCTGGCTCCTTATCAACCGAAAGGAATATAGACTTGCACATCCCCACCACCCTGCTTTACCTGCTGTCTGCCAGGGTCACTGTCATCTGTCACCAATCTAATGCTGGTCCCACACTACAGACAAACGGGTATTGGCAAAATTTTTGACAAAACTTGGGGCAAATTAACCAACTGACCGAAGCTCGTCAACCATGGATAGTGTGCGCTGTACAAGGAAACATCATGGACCTAAGAATTGCCGTGGGACTGATTGCTGCTTTTGGATATATGTTATATAAACAAAAACGAAGAAAATAAGCGGAGAAAGCAAAGAAGAAGATGGTGGATGTTGAAAATTCACGAGAATCGTACAAGGTACCCACAAATTGACCTTAGTTTTCCTTATTGATATCAGTTAGGGTAGGCGTAGGAAGTTGGCGGCCCTATCGCCCGGTCACGCAGCCGCAATCAGCCACTGGCCCTCCAGGTTGGGGGAAGAATTACACTGACACCCACACAGCACACAAACACAAAGAACATCTACAGTACACACCATAGGGTCACCATTCCTATGAAGCCGCCCTGGAAGGGAAGAAGGTCAGGCTGCTGAAGAGGATTTCCTCCTCACCTGAACCCAGTGCAAGCCGAGGTGCGCGCCTGTCCAGGTTCGCAACTAGAGGAGCACTGCTCATCACCGCACCCAATAACAGAACATAACTGACAAAGGTCACTCCTGTCGCCCTATACTCCTTTTCTGCCTGAATGATTGAGCCAGCCAGGGCGAGATGTTTCAGAGGGTACAGATGGAAACGAGAGATAGCACACCTCGGCCGCTGGGATAGTACAGGAGTCCGCACCTCCTAACCAGGAAGGAGTGGCTGCTCCATCAGCCCAGTGTAAAATTTCGGACGATGTATTAGTGCCAGTTGGTGACTGGATTGGACCCTGATGCACGGACCGGAGTTGCTCCTCCGAGGCCACTGGACTCTACTCTCAGGTGACACGTTCTTCCAGAAGGGGGACTGGGGCTGGGACGGCAGTATACCTACACTTACATCATACATTTAACACAATGCACAATAATAAAATCAAACAACCAGAGTGAAAAAACAGATGAAGAGCAGCCGGAAGTGCCAGCTGCAATAGATGTATAGACGGAGCAGTCATCCCAGACTGAACAAGACACACTAGAGACGAAAGGAGGGAGCTGGAAGGAGGTTAAACCCAGACATGACAGGGTGGTACGGCCATACCAGCTCCCATCTAGTCCATTAAGCCAAAGGGCGGACTCTGATAGAGAGTCTACTCTACTTAGGTCAACTACTTCGACCGAGACAGATCAGGGAGGGACGCATAGTCAGTCCTCCCCTGGAAGTATTTTAAAGGAAGAGGCCGAGAGGATCAAAAAAGGCAAATTAAAGAAGCTTTATCGCAAAAAGAAAAGGCGAGCGGAAGGAATTAAAAGGTAAGCTGAACGGGTGGCGATTAGGAACGGGCGTCAGACGCCTATCTCTGATCCGGCTACCCATAGGCAGCCTCATTCATCAGGGAGTACCACGGGTCGTTCCCCTTTAGTTAGACAAGAGAAGAACTTCCCCAGAGCCAATACGGAAGGAGGGGAGAGAGGAGGCTGGTCTTTCTAGCACCCCTTCTCGGGCTAGACAGGAGCGAGCGTCCTCCTCAAAGGTTGGTCAATATACAGTAAAATACATACAAGCAGAATGTATAGCAGAAGCCCAAGACATAAAAAAACAACAAACAAAGGCAAAGAGGATATGACTGCCTCATTCAATTAACTAGTCGACGCATTAAAAAATCAAAGCGGAAATTGCCATTAAATATACAAAGAGACAGAGGCCGGTTGAGGAGTCCCCACCTGCGGATGTCCGCCGACAAGACAAAAAAAGGCCGAAGCAATCGCCTAGAAGGTCCCTCACAGCAAGGCACTGAGTTGGATGAGGGGAATACCCGATCCTACAGGGACGCTGCAGCTCGGAGGGCATTGGAGATGTTATAATGGGGAGCCAGGAGGGTGAGCCTATCACACAGGATGAGGCACAACTCATACGCTGGCTCCCCATTGCCCAAATCGACCTTAGGTGCAATCAGCTACATCCCAGAAGGAGACCATTAGCCTTCAAAAACTCAGGATATCAGGCGGAACCGGGTTGGTTCCTCCTCACCTCCACAAATGAGGAGACTAGGGATTGGCTACTGGACTGGGTCCCTCCTAATGACCGAAGGTTTGTGGTGAGGCGGTCCGCCGAGGCTCCCTAGCCTGGTAGAATTGTTATTGGGTAAGGAGCTGAAGCGATCGATCCCACCAGGCTCTTAAGAATCCTGGACTACCAGAATGAGGACCTAGTTGGTATATCGAGATGGCAGTATTTAGGAACTGAGGGCGACCCAGGACATCTGTGAGCGGTGTTTAAGGTGCCCAGCATCTCAATGGCGTGGTTTGAGGCTCATGAGTGGCACATAAACTACGAGCTAGTCAGCTTAACAGTTTGGAGGGCGCCACCAACTGCCTCATAACCTGTCAACCTCTCACAGGATGACACTAGGAGGAGCAGGCGCCATTAGGCTCCTGTACTTAGTACTTCCCCTTAACAACAATGGAATCCAATGTGATTAAGGTAAGACAAATTAATATGCAGCATAATAAATTGGCTACGGCCGAATTAGCTAAGCTTCTCACGGGGGTTAAATCAACCCTCGTTCTAATACAAGAACCTTACTGTTTAAGGGGAATGATTAAAGGCTTAAGGGGAACAGGAGGAAATATCATCCGACCACCCCTATTTGCCCTATTTGAAGACAAACCTTGGGTATGCATATGGGCCTCCAAGGATTTGCACATATTGCCACTACCTCAGGTAAACTCAAGAGACTCTGTGGCCTTGAACCTAACTATTAAGGTAGGCATTAGAAAGATTAAAATGATAATTGGATCTATTTATATACCTCATGATTTAGACCCTATTTATCAATATGTGGAAAAGAGGACCTCCTACTCCTAATAGGTGGTGATATAAATCTATATATATCAATATACAGTAAAATACATAGAAGCAGAATGTATAGCAGAAGCCCAAGACATAAAAAAACAACAAACAATGGTATAGAGGATATGACTGCCTCGTTCAATTAACTAGTCGACGCATTAAAAAATCAAAAGCGGAAATTCGAATAAGTGTAATAAAAGTTATGCACACAATTATGGATCCGTGATATGAGAAAGTTAGTCGAAGAACCTCAACAAGAACAGGCTCTCTTTATTTGCCAAATAGATGATATTTGTGCTCAATATATGCGGTGTTTGTCGAATAAAAATACTTCCAATGTTGAAAACACAACCACCAACACCAGTTTCAACAAAATTGCAGCCAGTTTCCTTGGTCTGGTGGAAATTCACAAATAAATAATGATTTCCTAGCAACAAGCTGGGCCATACAATATACTATAGAAATTGTAAATAAAAAAACAGATACCATTAATAAAGCATTTTGCGCATGCGTTTGAAGAAGATGAAGAATAATCATTAGTTATTATTCAACTTTTCTTTTTGTAGTGTTATATTACATTATTCATAATATTGTGTAAGCAATAGTATTTTTTGTATTAATTAATTTGTTTGTTTAGTATGTTTTGTTAATTAATTTATAGTTTACATTCTGTAATATATATTATGTTGTATATAGGAACCTAATTTGTTTGTTGATTAATAAAATTTCTATTTTGTATAATATTAATAATGTTAAAGATTAATTTTCTATCAACATTATAAATATTAAATTTTATTTTATCGATATAAGCTATTAAATTTTGTAAATATAGTGGTTGTAAATTGTATAAAAATATAACGTCAACTTTCCTCTTGGGCATCGTCAAATAGGAATAACCGGAGGGAGGAAGCAATTCTTACGCGCCTGCGTATAGGTCATACACGCCTTACCCATGGATACCTGATGGCCCGTGATTCTTGGCCAACATGCAAAACTTGTGGGACTCTTCTGGCAGTGAAACACATTTTAACAGAATGCAGAGCTTACGAAACGATTAGACTCTCTTGTGACTTGACAAACGATCTACACTTCATTTTACAGGACAATAAGAATGAAATTAATAAACTATTTTCTTTTCTGAAACGTTCTAAACTTTAAAATACAATCTGAGTCTCGGTGAAAATAAGGAAATAATGACCCAAGTGGTTGAAGCCTTAAATTATGAAAAAAAAACTACGTCAACCTGATGCTCGTCATCGAAAGAAGTAATTTTCTTGGCTGAAAATACCCAAAATCGTAATAAGGATATTCAGGTGAATGTATTTATATCAGAGATGGGCAAATGTTTTAATCAAATACTGACCTTTTTTGAGTACCAAAGAATTTAATTACTATTTCAGTTGATGTCAAACGATTAACTGAAGTAGTAATTGAATTTCTAACAGTGAAACAATTTGAGAAAAACACTTGGTGCTCGGTACTCAGAGTAGCATTTTCCCATCTCTGTTTAATGTACGCTAGAAATTGTTTTTAGGATTGTAATTTATTTTTTTGCGTCTTCTTTTGCGGCTATGTATATGCATTTGTTTAATCATACACGCATATATAGTATTTTTATCACAGTATTTATTATTTAGCCTATTAACAAAAAAATATATAAAAATATAAAAAAGTGAAATAATAATAAATAAAAACTATGTACAATAAAAAAATAAAATAACCTAAATATAAGTAAATTTAAAACATAAAAATACAGTCATACCTATATACAATCAGGCAGGGAACCCAAATCCCTTCGCTACTCTCTCAACCGCGTCAGTGGTGCAAAAGCCAGTGGAGTAGAGAAAATTAACGAAGAAAAAAAAAGAGATCGACATTATAAGAAAAGTATCAAACATAAAAGTATAAACACAAATATGAAAAAGTAGAACGAAAGTTAGTATAACCAATTTATTATTAACTCACAGGTCGTTCTTCACAAATAACTAGCGTTTCTAAGCACAGTAAGTAACATAGGTTAATATATCAATTTTCGCCTTGTCAATGATGTTTCGCGGCATTGTTTTCAAATTAGCCGCTATGCTTCCCAGAAAAAGCTCTACATCATCTGATTGTTGTTTTTCAGCCATACGCTGCAAAAACATGAGGCGTTCTTCACACCTTTTATTAATAATAGCCCAAGGTTTTTTCCTTGAGATATTGTGAAACGTAGAGGAAGTCGAGTTACTAGCTGATGGAGGGATGATATTAGTTGAAGGATTTTCGTCTTCCACTTCGACAGTGGGCCGTCATCGTCTGATGTAAATATATCTACATTTCCTGTCCCCTCTGGGCAAATGCTGCAGAAAGTTGACCGTTCCCTTTCTGTTCCATTTAATAAAGTGAGGCTGTTGAACAGAGGCCATTTTTGGATGAACCGGGCGCAGCAGACCCCGTTGGAGGTTTCTCTCTCCTGAGAATTTTAAAATAACTGTCGCGAATATCTTTCCATCTCTTCTTACAATGGTTATCTGGACTAGAAATAGATTATTAATTGAGATAATTATTGTAATCATTTTGATTCCTATTTCATACATTGACCATACTTATTGTTTTTTTACAGATTCCTGGCGACAGGAGAAAGTTTCATGTCGCTTGGGTATGCATTCCGCATATCACTTAGCTATGTGAGAGTTATAGTCAAACAAACATTGTAAGCACTGTGCCAAAATTTGGTGCCTGTACTGATGCCTTCGCCATATCATATCAAACAACCTTCCTTAATAGCTCAGCAGAGTTTATCAAACTTTGGGGTTTCCCAAACTGTCGTGGCGCTATAGATTGGAAACATTTAAGGATACGAAGTCCGAAGAGAAGTGGCTCCCTTTATTGGAATTAAAAAAACCTATTATTCGACCGTACTACTCGCTTTAGTTGATGCAAATTACAACATCATGGCCATAGATGTTGGCTCGTATGGAAAAAAGGGAGACAGTGAAATTTTTAACAAATCCGCAATAGGGAGATCAATCATGAAAGGAGATATTTTCCTTCCAGACAAGGAGCTTCCCTTTTCTGAAATCATAGTCCCATTTGTAGTGGTAGGCGACGAAGCCATTCGGTTACAAAGGTATACACTCAAGCCATTTACCGGGCCAGAACGACATATCAAAAGCCAATTTCAAGCACAAACTTTCACGGGCGCTCCGTGTATCGGAAAATGCATTTGGTCTATTATGCCAAGTCTTTCGGGTTTTTTATTCAACAATAAATGAAAAATCCGAAACATGTGACACCATAATAACATGCTATTGTCCAAATAACCTCTTGAGAGATGGATACTAGGAAAACGAAAGAAAGCCTTTTTATCAACTAGAAGAGGAACTGAGTTTACCTCAAAACATCATCTCAGAATCTTCTGATAACCACAACATCGAAACCATACTGAATATCGATTGTATAGATAAGTTAAATAAATTTTACTATTATATGATGGGAGTACACTAAGTGCATACACAAAACTGTTGATCATAGACCATGTTCTATTAAGTTTGTTTTCAATTTATCTTATAAGTATGACTGTATTTTTATGATTTTAATTTACTTATATTTAGGTTATTTTATTTTTTATTGTATATAGTTTTTATTTATTATTATTT